AGGGTCTCACCATCCTTACAGGAAAGAATTTCCTCATGTTTAAGATCTCAGAAAGATTAGACATGATGGTGGCTGTTTCTATTATGAAGATATTTGTTCTTTGGGGAGACTTACTTAGTGAATATAAAATGTCAGCATTGCTGACCCTTTAGGTGCTGGATTTTCATCATTCACATCAGCTCAGTAGCAGAAGAGTAGAGGCAACATCAGTGCTTTGTCATGGATCCAAAGGTGAGGTCCTTCACATTGGTCATTCAGCATGAGTTTTGTCAATGCATCCATGTGATCTCATTTTTCTCTTGGTAAACAGAAGGAATATTGGAGCAGACCTTCCTGTAGGCATGGATTTAATAGCAGGTGCTGTGTGATGGGTGATGGATGCCTCCAGCTGAGGGTACTTTAGAACAGAGGCACTGCCTCAGATGTGGAGTCACGTCCCCAGGACTTTTCTGTCCTTGGAGTCTCCTCCTTGCGCAAACTAGAACGATCACTGGAGACAGTGAAGACTTCTTATGCTACTTTAAGCCTAATATATCTATACTGTGGACACAGGCAAACCTGCGGCCTGTGGAGATGTATGTGGGTCACCTTCCAAGCAGTATTGCCAGTAGTGTCACTGCAGCAGATGACACTCACTGTCAGCTGCAAGATCTGGTGCTTTGCTAGAGATGAGCTTTGTTTTGCCTTGCCTGGTTCCCAGCAGTAACCTACTAGTCAGCTTAAAATTACCTTGTGTAAATTTACCTGGAGGTTTCTTAGAAATACTCCCAAGGCTTTTGCCTCTGTTCCCTGAGAAGTGATGTGAAGTGCAGGTCATTGAGTTGTTGGGTGGTAGAGGAGGGGAGAGGGTGCAGGGTTCCAGGAGTCCTTGTGCTGGTCTCCTGAAGAGTTGGAACCCAAAATGCAACAACCCCAGTTGTTCCTTGGCAGTGGTACCAGTGGCACCTGAAGCCCTCTGGGCTGTGACACTGCATGTGACAGCTTGGGACTTCTGCCTTTGTGCCAGAAAACCTCAGGCCCACATCCTTGCTGTGACAGCTCAGTGGCCTGGCACACAAGACAAGGATCCCTGTGAGCAGCAGTGATGGGGGGGATGAGAGAACTGGGCTGAGGAGAGGAAGGTAAGAGGGAGCCCCTGCAATTCACCAGAACCTTGTGTTCCTCCTCCCTCTCTGTGGGTGCTTTCCAGCTTAATCCTCATCTCTCAAATGACCAGATTTCCTCAAAGTTTTCCCTGTGTGCCCATGAAAACCTTCCTCCCTGAAGTGACTCCCCTTTGTTGCACAAGCTGTTTTATGTTAGAAACGCTTCTGTATATTGATAATGTATTAAAGTTCTGCAAAATGGTCTCAGAGGGACTTTGGACAAGGACAGAGAGTGATGGGATGAAGGGGGAGTGAATTTAAGCTGGAAGAGGGGAGACTGAGGTGAGACATGAGGAGGAAATTCTTCCCTGTAAGGGTGTTGAAACCCTGGCCCAGGTTGCCCAGGGAAGCTGTGGCTGCCCCATCCCTGGCAGTGTTGAAGGGCAGGTTGGATGGGGCTTGGAGCAACCTGGGCTGGTAGGAGGTGTCCCTGCCCATGCAGGGGGTTGGATCTAGATGATGTTTAAGGTCCCTTACAGCCCAAACCATTCCACGATGGTTCTGTGGAGCTTGAGGAGGGCATACCCTGGAGAGCTGGGAGCACCAGGTGGGTTATAGGTGTGTTCTGAAATGTTGGTCGCTGTCAGCGAGAAATGAGCTGCCAGACACCCCAGAAGGAGAAGCTGCTGAGTGGTGGGATGGCTGACACATAGCATGGGCAGTGCTGATATTGCTGCAGAAGCAGGTCTGTTTTTTCATGTGTCAGAGAGCCAAGGATGTTCTGCCATGTATCTGTCACGTGGAGCTTGCAAAAGGAGCACTTTGTGCTGGCTTGAAAGTGCAGCCCTAGGTATTGTAGCATTTCCTTAATGCAAAGCTTGCAGATTCCCAGACAGGGACAGAAATAACACAGGAGGATGGCAGCTCTGCCAGGCTGTTAGCATGTAGGAAGCAGTTTGTCAGCAAGGATTAAAGATGCAGCTGAGGACTAGTGCTGTAAAAAGGTTTAATCCAGGAGCTCTGTGTTCAGTTTTCTCAAAATATCTGACCTCTTGCGTGTGATCAGAGCTTGTCCTTCACAAAACAGTCCCCCCGCGGGTGGGAGGAGAAATGACAAAATAGTGAATGTTTTTTTTTGTGTCAAGTGCCCAAAGATGCTGAGCGTTAACAGGCAGGATGTGGATATTGAAAGTCCACTGATGTTCATATGTTTTTTATCACAAGGATATTTAATTGATTCTCTTATTACACTGAGATTCAGGTGGATGAATCTGTTTCAAGGCTGAAAATGGGATCTTTTCCTGTTGTCACATAAACCAAGGGCAACTGAGCATTATCCAATACAAGTCCTGAGATAATCCTGTTCTGAACAGCAAATATTCCAGAAGAATTCCATCATGGCATAAAAAGTGGGATGGAGCTGGGGGGCAGGTTTGCTTCAGCCCACCTGGAGGTGAATTTTCTCTGACTGTTTCTCAAACAGCCCAGAAGGGCAGAGGCGAGAAGGAAGAGCAGGATGTCAGCTCCTGGGAAACTATCTAGATGTGTGTATTGGGATCAATGCATTTCCTCCAGTCTTTGCTGGGATCCTAGGGTGTCTGCAGAGAAAATCCATTCTGAGTTGCTTTTAGCAATAAGTCCACACTGAGAAATAGTTTCTGTTGTGCTGCCTGCAAATTTGTACCAGACAAAGAAAATAGTTGTGCTCTGATTCTAAAAATACCATCCTGGGGGTCAAGTTTAGCTTTTCTCCCAGTTAATTATTTTAGTCTGTAGCTAATGTTAAATTCATCTGACCTTTTCTATCCTTTGCTCCACTTCTGGAGGCATTTTGAGCCCAATTTTCATCTTTCAGCCACTGTTTCGCGGAATAATTCTGCAGAAGTGGGATTTGGGACGTAGGAAAGGGCTGAGGTTTCTCTGCTTCTCACTCCTCCTGTGTGCTTCCTCAGAGTGGAAATGGGCTGAGAGGGGGTATTTGGTTATTTTATATTGGTGATTCCTGAGTAATAGTGGAGGGGAAAAAATTGAACAGATACTATTGAACTGGAGTTCCTCATTTGACTTTAGGGGAAAAAAAAGAGGGAGAGAGGACACCCCCACAAGAGTTGTTGCTGTGATTTTTTTTTTTAATAGTGCTAGGCTGGGACTGACTTTAATTTTCTTGTGTTTGTTACTGATCTGCAATGTTTCCTATAGAGTAGGAAATATTTGCATTGTGATATTTCTTTGGGGACATTTTATGGAGGGACTCTGGGATTTAGGTGGCAGCTGGGTGAGAAGTAAACTTTGCTGCAGATGTTCAGGGCTGCTGTGAGTTGCTTTGTTTGCAGTGTGTCTGTCCAGAGTGGATGTGCTCAAATTTCAGTTTTCTGAGTAAGGTGAGGGAAGAAAGAAGGAGACATCAGGTCCTGCACTTGAGCCACAACCACCCCCAGCAGTGCTTCAGGCTTGGGGAGGAGTGGCTGGAGCTGCCCAACAGAGGGACCTGGGGGTGCTGCTTGACAGCTGGATGAACATGAGCCAGTGTGTGCCCAGGTGGCCAAGAAGGCCACCAGCATCCTGGGCTCCATCAGGAACAGTGTGAGCAGCAGGAGCAGGGAGGTGATCCTGCCCCTCTGCTCATCCTTGGTGAGGCTGCACCTCGAGCATTGGGTGCAGGTTTGGGCACCCGAGGATAGGAAGGACATGGAGGTGCTGGAAGAGGGGGCAGAGAAGGGCAACCAGGCTGCTGAGGGGTCTGGAGAACAGGTCTGATGAGGAGAGGCTGAGGGAGCTGGGGCTGCTCAGCCTGGAGAAGAGGAGGCTGAGGGGAGAGCTCATTGCTCTCTACAGCTCCCTGAGAGGAGGTTGTGGTGATGTGGGTGTTGGGCTCTTCTCCCTGGTGACCAGTGATAGGACAAGAGGAGATGGGGTCAGGTTGCACCAGGGGAGGTTCAGGCAGGATATTAGGAACAATTTCTTCCCAGAAGGAGTGGTGAGGCCTTGGAACAGGCTGGGCCGGGGGGGGGGGGGGGCACCATCCCTGGAGATGTTCATCAAACAGGCAGACGTGGTGTTTCAGGAGATGGTTTAGTGGTTGGGGGTTGTAGGGTGGGTGGTTGGACTTGATGATCTTGAGGGTCTTTTCCAACCTTAACAATTCTATGATTCCATGACGTATTTATTCCATTCTCTTCTCCACACATAGTCTCACTAACCCAGCACATATTATGGGATGGGGTCACCCAGGGCTGTAGAGGGACTGGTCGCCTCCAGGCTGCTTTGCTTTTCTAGCTTTCAAAATATCCCAGGGTCTTGTTTTTTGGCAGGAATCTCCTTTCAGTGGGTGCTTTACTGCCTGCTGGGGTGCTGCAGGGCTTGGGTCAGCTGCATGAGCACCAGGCTTCATTAGCAAGTTACCAGCAATTGCCTTGCAGGCTTTTCCTAGGTAAATGTTAGGTTCTTCCCTAGGTAGGATGGAAAAGACAAGGTGTACTGGATTCACCAGCTGCTGAGCTTCTGGGGACAGAACCACAGAATGTCAGGGGTTGGAAGGGATCTCTGAAGATCATTGAGTACAACCCTCCTGCCAGAGCAGGATCAAAACTAGGATAGGTCACTCAGAAAGGCATCCAGACAGGTCTTGAAAGTCTCCAGAGAAGGAGACTCCACAACCTCTCTGGGCAACCTGTCCCAGGGCTCTGTCACCCTCACAGGAAAAGTTCTTCCTCGGGTTGAGATGGAACTTCTGGGCTTGAGACATCTGGATTGGAGGTGCTGCAGAGGGTGGGGAGCTTGTCTGCTCGTGCTTGTACTCCTGAGACCTGTTTGTATCTTGTGGATTTACAGAAAATGGGAGACTTGGCCTAGTCAAGGAAAAATAAAGTTTTATTTGATAACTTTTTTCCTTTCCCTCCTTCTCTCCTGTAGCCCATGCAAGCAGCAAGGTGTCCCACTGATGAACTGTCATTAACCAACTGTGCTGTGGTGAACGAGAAGGAATTCCAGTCTGGGCAGTAAGTGTGCACTGTTGCTCTCTTAACTTTTAACCAAGAAGGAATTGTTCTTAAGATTTGGCTGGAGGTGGGGATGCAGTTTCAGATCTGGGGAAGTGAGTTCACTGGGTGAATTAGCAAAACTTCTGCATCTTTAGAGACCAAAATTTTACATTGTGCCTCTTTCTCAGAACTGATGAGACTGAAAAAATGGTGAATTTTTCTTTGAAGCACTTCTTGCTTGGGTACTGGAACTGCTTAACTAATTGTAATCACCATTTTAATGAGGCCTTCAGGCCTTTTTTGATATTTTTTTTTACTGTTGTTACTGTTACATAGTTAGAATATTAGAGCTGTTGCAAGTAGATTTTTATCATTTAATTGTGTTACTAGGGGCATCTTCTCACTTCCACATCATATCAACACATATCATGGGGCAACAATGTGCCCTGGTGGCCAAGAAGGCCAACACCATCCTGGGGTGCATCAGGAGGAGTGTGTCCAGCAGATCTAGGGAGGTTCTCCTGCCCCTCTGCTCAGCCCTGGTGAGACCTCCCTTGCAGTGTTGTGTCCAGTTCTGGGCTTCCCAGTTCAAGAGGGACAGGGATTGACTGAAGAGAATCCAAGGGAGGTTACGAGGATGGTGAAGGGACTGGAACATCTGTCTGATGAGGAAAGGCTGAGAGACCTGGGGCTGTTCAGTCTAGAGAGGAGAAGACCGAGGGAGGATCTAATTAATGTTGATCAATACATGAGGGCCTCAAGAAGGCAGGACAAGCTCTTATCACTTGTGCCCTGTGATAGGTCAAGGGGCAATGGATTCCAGCTGGAGCCCAGGAAGTTCTACCTCAACATGAGGAAGAACTTCTTTCCTGTGAGGGTGACAGAGCCCTGGGACAGGCTGCCCAGAGAGGTTGTGGAGTCTCCTTCTCTGGAGACTTTCCAGCCCTGTCTGGATGCCTTTCTGAGTGACCTGCCCTGGTTTGGGTCCTGCTCTGGCAGGGGGGTTGGACTGGATGATCTTTGCAGGTCCCTTCCAACTCTTGACTTCCTGTGATTCTGTGACCTGGGAGTTCTGAGCAGAGTCAGTAGAAACTCTCTCTTCTTCTGAGGATTTTCATGCACAGGAACAAGAGGGAAGGCAACCAGAGAGTGGGCACAATTTGGATTCCGTAATTACAGTTCTCTGAGGACTGATAGCAGTTGAGTCTGGATTTTACTTTTGTGAGAAAGAAAGAAAACACATCCATTTTTCAGCCCAGCCCACACAGAAGGGCTTTGTATCAAAAAAAAGCCAATTAAAATCATTAATTTCCTTACTTTGCTGCAACTGCACAGGGGCTCTCAAAGATTTCCAGATGTAAATTGTAGACACAAGTCATGAATTTCAGCAGAAAGAGCATCACGTGCAGCAGAAAGTGGCAGAGCTTGGGTTTGAAAAAGGGGAAAAATGTTAAAAAAAAAGAGACTGAATAATACACTTAGGGCTTTACCATGAAATACCTGGCCCAGATGAATTCTGCCCAGGGTGAACCAAGTGACTCTGAGCTGCAGGGAACCAGGGAGCAATGTGTAGTAAGACTTGCTGTTCAGTGATAAACTGTGAATTCAGCCTCATCTGCAGGATAAAATAGCAAATCAAAACAGAAACACCCCCACTGAAAAAATCCCCAATGAGCACAGATTTTAGAGCCACAAGCAGGCACAAGTATCTGCATGGACCAGGGTGGTGTCCTACTCTCGTCAAATGGTATTTTTCTCTAAGTGGATTTTTTTCAAAGTAATTGAAAAATTACTCAGTACCTGAACATTGTACCTCATGCATTATAAAAATGTTAATTTCCTCAAATAGGAATGTCCTGGAGGGACCCAGCTTCCAGACCTGCAGCAGCTGGCTGCTTTCCTTCCCCTCTTTCATCCCATTTATGGGAGCATGAAGGAAGCAGTACCCTGAGACTTGCCTGGAAAGCAGGCTGGTCATGATCCTGGCTGGACTGATTCTCCCCAGGGGAGCTGCTTGTTTCTAGAAATTTGAGCTCATAAAGAAAGCAGCATATGTCTGGTGTGAGCAGGTGCTATAAATTGCCTTGAGAAGTGACTAGAGTAGAGAAACATCATGATACTCAGGCACTGCTGAGGGATGTAGTCATCCTGCTGCATTGCAGATATTCTGAGCAAGACCGTCCTGTGCTCTGCTGCAGTGGGTTGCACCCAGTCAGCAGGTCTGGCTTGTGTTGTCCTCACCAGGAATGGCTGCACAGAGGATTTTTTTGGTACCAGTTACACAATGAACTTTCCTTGAACACTTCCATTTGGTGCTGGGAGTTTGACCTTGGATCAGCAGGCTGGTTTGTCCCCAAGATGCTGCTGTAGGTCTTTTCATCCTTCATTTTCAGCATCCTGCGAGTCGGGTGAGGATGAGTCACCATTTTGTGATGCTTGAATTCATGGCATGAAAGGCAATTTTACTGTGTTGGTTTGCTAAATTGCACTGTCTGAAGTTCCTGAGACATCCTTCTATTTCAAGGACTCCCAGTGTATTTTGTAGAGACAAACAAGTGCTGAAAACACCCAGACAGGGAAGGGGACAACAGGCTGGGAGGAAACCAGGACAGGTTACCTCACTGGCAGGTTTTTTTTTTTTTAATATTGAGAACTGACTAATTATTCATCCCTTTTATCCCTGTTTTTACATGGAAGGACCATCCCTCTCTCTTCTGCCAAGGCAGTTCTCTGCTGAGCCCTTTAGGAGCCTTGCTGAGTGATTTACAGGGGTTTCCAAGCACAGACAGAGGAACATCTGCCCACGTTGTTCAAATGCTTACTGGTGCCTTTGCACAGATCTTTCCCTTCCAAAAGCTGTGCTCTTTCTTCACAAACGTAACATCTAATAGATCCAGGGTTACTGTTATCTATTATCTGTTGGTTGGCTCAGCCTGGTCAACTGACAGTTTCTGAAGGTTCAGACAAGGCTTTGAGTGGGTGAGAGCAGCAGTTTCCTCTGTGGCTCTTGGGAGACATCTGGCCCTGGGGACTTATTGTTCCTTTTGTTCCTTTGGAAGCAGAAGTTGTTAATGAGGTGATCTCCATAAGCTCACCAAGCTCCTCCCTGGTGAGCATCAATGCAGGGAAATGGATTTAGTTTTCCCTAATATTGTCTTATTTTGAACATTCTTCAGACTTAGGTTGCTTACAGCCTGGTGGAGGCTGCCTGCTCTTGCTGTCTGTGAGAAGAAACATCATTGTTCCTGTGCCTTTTGCAGATTTTTCTCTAAGAACCTGTCAGGATTTGACCTTTTCTAAATTTCTCACTTGGCTAGAGGTTTTCCTTCAGAAAGCTGATCTGTTTTCTATATTTTTTCTTAATTTTTAAAATGTTTTTTTTGTCTGACTCAGATCCATTTGCCTGCTGTCAGGGTCTGCTGTCTTCCTGGTCTGCTGGGAATGTTTCTGGTGAATGCTTCATTATAGTAATTTTAATTGGTATCATATCTTTGTGGATACTACCCTCCACCCCAATATTTTTACCAGGTATCCTCATTTTTTTAATTTTTTTTTTCATTTTGCTTCTTTGAAGTGGAATCCATAAGCTGTGGAGTTTCTTTCTTCTTGCAGAGATGCTGAATCTGCACATGTTAAAGTCATTGTTGTGTTTTGAGCCAGAGTCAATGCTCTGCTCAGGATCTATGTCGGTCTGAAGAAGCTTTAATCTTGAATTGTTTTATGGTCTGAGCTGCTTCTGGTGGGGTGTTACTTGTCATCAGGTGTAGTCTTGCTGAGCTATTCCAATAGCATGGCTGGGACTTGTATTTTGCCCACAGGCATGTGTGTCTGACACTGCAGCATAATACCTGGCTTTCCAGTTGGTTGGGTATGGACGTTAGTTTTAATTACTCAGGCTGATACACCGTGCTGGAAACCTCCTGATTTCAGTCCCTGCTTCCTGGACAGCTTTTCTGTCTTACCTGCTACTCAAATTAAAATGAAACAATCCTTGGAGCAACATTCAGGCTGAGCAAAATTCACTTTAAGGAGGATCTTGAGGTGCTGGAGCAGGTACAGAGGAGACAACAAGGCTGGTGAAGGGACCAGAGGGAAAGTCTTATAGGGAGAGGCTGAGGGAGCTGGGGTTGTTTAGCCTGGAGAAGAGGAGACTCAGGGGGGGGACCTTCTCACTTTCTACAACCACCCGAAGGGAGGTTGTGCTCAGGTGGGATTTGGGCTCTTCTCCCAGGCAACCAGTGACAAGATGAGAGGGCCTGGCCGGGAGCTGCTCCAGGGGAGGTTTAGGTTGGATATCAGCAAGCACTTCCTCATGAAGAGGATGATCAGATAGTGGGATGGACTGCCCAGGGAAGTGGGGGAGGCACCATCCCTGGAGGGGTTCAAGGAAAGGCTGGAGGTGGCACTTAGTGCCATGGTCTGGAGATATGGTGGTGTCAGGTCATGGGCTGGACTTGATGATCTTAAAGGTCTTTTCCAGCTTTGGTGCTTCTGTGATTTGCCCCAACTTGCTGGCATCACTGTCCTTGCTGCAGCCTGAGATGGTGTTGGCTCTTTGCTGCTGGGATGTATTGCTGACTTATGTTCACCTTGTTGTCCCCCAGGATCCCAGGTCTCTCCAGCCATTTGGCCCCCAGCCTGTACGTGGGGTTATTCCTCCCGAGGTGGAGCACTTTGCATTTTCCTTTGTTGAACTTGATGGGATCTGTGTCAGCCCATAACTCCACCCTGTCCAAGCCCCTCTGACCAGCAGCACAATCAGCAGGTGTGTAATCTGCAGCCTAGCTGAGGGTGCCCTCTGCCCCATCATCCTGCTCATTAATGAAGATTTGAAGTCCTTTTGGCCCCATGTGGACACCTGGGAATGCCACAAGTGACCTGCCCGAAGCTGGACTCGCCGAGCACAGCCCCCGAGGCAGCTTTAACCCACAGCTCTGCCCACTCACCTGGGCTGTTTGTATGGAGGGATTGTTGTGTCAGGCAGAGTAAAAGGCATTGTTAATGCTGAGATAAACAATATCCATGGCTCTTCCTTCACCCTCAGAGCTCACCATTGCATCTTGGAAGGTTATTGTGCTGGTCAGGCCTGACGTGGCCATGTGACTCATGCTCACTGCTCCCAGTCACTTTGTCTCCCTTTTATGTTTGGTTTCCAGGATTAGTTGCTCCATCACTTTCCCAGGGACAAAGGTGAGGCTGGCCAGCCTGTAGTTTCTTGGATCCTCCTGCTTGCCATTCCTGAAGATAGGAGTGACATTTGCTTTCTCCCAGTCCTTGGAAACCTTCCCTGGTCACTAAGAAGCACCAGTGAATGTCTTGCTCTCCCTCTGCAGGATTTAGAGGGAGCCATGCCAGCTGTTACAGGTTTCTGCCTTTACACCTGAGGCAGGAGAAGATGGAAAAGGAAGGGTACCTGTCCCTGAAACTGGGCTTTTGGGCAGCTGGTGCGTGATTTAGGACCAGAACCAGTGAAGAGTCAAACCACCAGTCCACTTGAGAAGAGGGGACGGTGTCATTAGGTGGTGTGTTTAACATGCCATCAAGGATAGTGGTTCTGGAAAGGTTTTGCAAGCTTCCCTGTCCGTTTGGGCCAACTCTAAGGATGTCAAGTGGTTTTGGCTGTGCAGGCCACACGTTTCCTCTGCTCTGAGTGCCACATGTTCTTCCCTGCCAGGTGGCTGAAGCTGTTGCACATGCACGAGGCAGCCAATGTACAGGTGTGCAGCAGATCTGCTTGGGTTGGGGCTGGATTCACTGTGCATGTGCAAATGACCTGGAGTCACCTGGAGTGTGTGTGCATAGAATCCATTCACTGCCAGGGAGGGAGCATGGCCAGGTCTGTGGGCCTAGTTCATCTAGCCCTTAGTTCCTGACCATAGATGGGAGGGGAACACCACAGCTCCCATGAGTTGATGGCTTCATATACCTTAGAGGTGGGTGAAGTACAGGAAGCTGAGAAGATGATGCTGAGGTGGAACCTGATTCCACCACTGCCTCTCCCACCAGTGCACACAAATCCCACCTTCTTTGGTTCTGCTTTCTTAGGCCACAGAGAAGTCTGCCTATCACATGGTAGGAGCTATCAGGCATAGTCTGAGGAGAACTATAAGCAGCTTTTAGTGTCTTTGTCCCTGACAGCTTCCCTTCTGAGACACAGACACATGCAGCTGCTGCTCTGTCTGCTCCTGTCTGGATGCTCTTGTTTTCTGTGTTCTTGGCCTTCAGACTCCGAGTTGATAAGCTGCTGCTCACTAGCAAACAGGAAGAACAGGCCCAATCCCTGTGTGATTATACTTTTTGTACAGAAATTCCTCCCATTTTCTTTTGCCATTAAACTTCTAAACAAGCTACTAAAATCCTTGTGTGGCCTTTGCATCAATTTCCTGTTGAAATCACAGCCTGGATGCTGCTTGTATTGGGGTAAAATACTGATGCTTTGGTGTCAGGTGCTTGAGATGTGAAACCAGGTTTGATTTTTAGGTCATGGACTCAGAATATCAGGTTGGAAGGGACCTCAATGATCATCTGGTCTAACTTCTCTTGGTGCTACTACAGTTTACATGAAGTGGCCCAGCACCTTGTCAAGCTGAGACTTAAAATTATCCAACATGGAGGAACCCACCACTTCCTCTGGGAGACTGTTCCAATGTCTGACTGTCCTCATGGGGAAAAATTTACTTCTTGTGTCATAGCAGCCTTGGGCTTTGTGGTTGTGGTTTGGTTCTCTCACATTGGCACAGTGCAATTCCTGAAGAAAAGGGCTACTGGTGGGGGAGGGTAAACATTAATTATAGGCACAATGTCTTCAGTTGAGCTTTGAGTTAATGTTTTATCACTGAAGCTGAAAGACTCCTTTGAAAACTGCTGTGTGGCTGCACTGTGGTGGAGCTCTAGAGCCTTGGTTTCATTCTCTGGAGCACCAGATATTTGCCTTGTTTCTTCTCAATTTTCAGCACTGGGAGCAATGCAAAATCCTCCTGGGTCTACAGATTTGAGTAAAATACTCCTTGTTCTCTCTTCTAGACATGTTGTTGTGAAGACTTCTCCCAACCACAAGTACATTTTCACACTGAGAACCCATCCCTCAGTGGTTCCCGGCAGCATCGCCTTCAGCTTGCCCCAGGTAGGAGGTGGTTTGACTCATGGTTTTGCTGCAGGAGAAGCAAAAATCTCTTTTGAGATTAGGACTGAAGACAAGTTCTAATTGGAGAGAAATGTCTGCTGCAAAATATGATTTCTGTCAGCAGAAGTTCAAGGAGACCTTTACAATGACTGAAGCAAACGTGCTTGTATTGCTTTGATCTATTCTTAGTGCCTGGTGGGGTAAAGGTACTAGAAAAGGTGTAATTTTAACCTTTAAAAAACCCACCAAACTATTTAAAAAAGAAAAGCCTCAGCAATATCAGCTAATCTGTGAATTTTTATTGTTCCCTGGTTTCTCTTTGCTTAAAGAGTTTTCTTTGCTGTGTTGCTCTTTTAAAGACATACTGGAAGTTTTATTGCCTGTATTCAGTTGCTGTTAGTATTTTTAGATGTAAAGTACAATGTAATGCATAAAACAGATTTAACTTGTCCTTTCTTAATTAAGCCAAGCTACTACATGTTAAATCATAGTTAGAATAAAGAATTAATACAGTTAACTTCTATATAGAGAAATTAATCTTGTAGCCTTTAACTGGCTCACAAAGGGAGCTGCATAACATAAAACTGCCATGATCATGGTCATTGATTTAGTGCTTTTAGATTTTATTGCTAGTAAACTGCTCTAGAAGCCAATTCTCTGTGCTGAAAACACAAGACTCTTTTTTTCTTTAACAGATGACTTGGCATAGGCCCCACAATGACTTCCTGCTTTTTGACATGTTCAAATTCAAAGTTGTCCAGATGAGTGAGTGAACAGGCTGGCATGTTAACCATGTGTCTAACTAGGGTTTGTGATGCCCAGACTGAAGAGCAGTTACCAGCAGAAGACATTTGTATCATGGGGTTAAAGTTGATGCATTTGTGGTCTAGGGTTGATTTTTGTAGATTCTAGTAGTTGTTGCAGAGCTGGGAGAGCTCTCCTGCCAAGGAATGGGGAAGGATGCTTCCCTCTCAAAAGTGACTGTGGTTCTAAGTGTTACAGCTGCTGGTGGATGAATGTTTTGAGTATTCCTGGGTTTTAATTTCCAGCATTGTCTGAAGCCTGGGGTAGTTGCAACCTCTGTTACACAAAGTATGTTCTTACCTGATGGGTTCATGGGGGGTTGTGTGGTGGACACAGGCTCTAGGGCCTCCAAGAAGCCTGTTTGTTGTACATTCATTATGCACGTCAAGTTCTTGACCATCTTTGCTTTGTAATAACCTTAACTCTGGGCTTAAAGATCCAAAACCATGACAAGTTTTCTATGCTGCAGAGCCCAAAAGAGGAAGTGTTGTGCAGTGATGACAAACTGCTTAGCAGAGAACACCAAAATCAGTGTAGGAATGGAGCTGTATCTCTGCCACAGAGAAGATCCTAACTACTCATTCTAACAGAACTTGGACAGCAGGCTCAGCCTGGGGGTTTTCAGCAGGGCCCAGTGTTTGCAGCAGAACCAGTGAGTGGGACCAGCATTGTTGGACTTGTGCTCAGCAGTGTCTGGTCCTTCAGGTGAAGGTGAGTTCAGAGTATCTTTTGATGAGGAACTGGAGTGTCAAGGGAAGGGGAGAATTCCTCCTGGCCTTGCAGGTAAACAGTGGGAGCTCTGAAGCATGATATTGAATATAGAAACATAATTTGTTTTCACCTTCTTGGGAACACCAGTAAGTACATGGAAGGGTTCCTCTCTGGGCTTTGATTTCTGCCAGGCTGATCTCTGTTCTCCTCAGGGAATTCTTTCCTTAAGCTTGAACCATGCATATATTGGAGAGGGAATATAGGAAGGAATTTTCATATCTGAAAAAAGGTAATTTAATCCTTTCTCTCGGACTTCTTCCTTCCAAACAAAATGACCATAAAGTTCAACATTTCAAAAGTGATCTTACCAGAGCTTTGTGTCATGAAATTAGGTATTTTTATGATTCGTCCTCTCTGCTGTTCAGATATTTGAGACACTGTGAATACTGCTCAGCCTGAGCTGTGGGCTGCAAAGACACACGAGGCAATCTGGAACACAAGAGCCACTGAAAAAATAACCACTTTTGCAATTACTAAGCCAAAAGTTTTGGCATAGTAAAGGTCATAGATTTTTTTTTTTTTGTGTCATATAATAATTATTGAGCCATTTCCCACTTGTCATGCAGTTTTTGAACTGCACATATCATTGAAAGGAAATTGAAGTGACCTAAAGGGTTTGAAAGATTCTTCCTAGTTCTCTGAATAAGTTTAGTTTTAGGTAATATTATATCTTGAAGAACATTACAACAATTTCCTGCAAGTATGTAACTTGAAACATGATGATGGAGTGTGTCACAGCCTCTCTTGGCTCTTCCACTCCCTGTTGTGATCATCTCCTGAGCTTTGGAAGGAAATGAATAGGGTGGCAAACAGCCCTGTCCAGTGTTTCTACCTGCAAGACATTGGGGTGACCGGTAACATGAAGGAGTGTGGACAGAACAACCTTTAAGATCAGAAAATAGAATTATTAATAGAAAATATTCCATGTTTTGTCTCATTTCCTGTAATTTGGGTGTCTGGAAGATCCCATTCTGCCCTTTTTGCTGGTTAAGGTACTCCTGGGGGAGCTTGCTTTTCTGAGTGAGGATTCTGAACTGAGTGGCTGTTTCTCTTACTGGAGGACAAGATTTCTGAAGTTTTTGTCTTTTTTTTTACAGAGAAAATGGGCTGGACTTTCCATTGGCCAAGAGATAGATGGTAAGTCAGTCAGCAGCGAGGTCGGGATGTACGTTTATAAAAGCTGAGTTCCCTGTTTCATACTGACATGAAACTGAATTAGAAAACCTCACATTTAGAATCATAGAATCACAGAATCATCATAAAGGTTGGAAAAGACCTTCAAGATCTTCAAGCTCGAACACTCACTCTACAACCCACAACCATCTCCTGAAACACCACGTCTGCCTGTTTGATGAACATCTCCAGGGATGGTGCCTCCCCCACCTCCCTGGGCAGCCTGTTCCAAGGCCTCACCACTCCTTCTGGGAAGAAATTGTTCATAATGTCCTGCCTGAACCTCCCCTGGCACAACTTGACCCCATCTCCTCCTGTCCTATCGCTGGTCACCAGGGAGAAGAGCCCAACACCCACCTCACCACAACCTCCTCTCAGGGAGCTGTAGAGAGCAATGAGCTCTCCCCTCAGCCTCCTCTTCTCCAGGCTGAGCAGCCCCAGCTCCCTCAGCCTCTCCTCATCAGACCTGTTCTCCAGACCCCTCAGCAGCCTGGTTGCCCTTCTCTGCCCCCTCTTCCAGCACCTCCATGTCCTTCCTATCCTCGGGTGCCCAAACCTGCACCCAATGCTCGAGGTGCAGCCTCACCAAGGATGAGCAGAGGGGCAGGATCACCTCCCTGCTCCTGCTGCTCACACTGTTCCTGATGGAGCCCAGGATGCTGGTGGCCTTCTTGGCCACCTGGGCACACACTGGCTCATGTTCATCCAGCTGTCAAGCAGCACCCCCAGGTCCCTCTGCTGGGCAGCTCCAGCCACTCCTCCCCAAGCCTGAAGCACTGCTGGGGGTGGTTGTGGCCCAAGTGCTGTACCCAACTTTTGGCCTTCTTGAAGCTCATGCCATTGGCCTTGGTCCAAGGGTCAAGCCTGTCTAGACCCTCTGCAGAGCCTCCTGCCCTCAAGCTGGTCAATGCTCCCAGTTTTTGCCCATTGCCCCTTGTCCTATCACTGGGAAGAGTCTGGCCCCATCCTCCTGCCACCCCCTGCAGATATTGATCAGCACTGAGCAGATCCCCCCTCAGCCTCCTCCTCTCCAGGCTCAACAGCCCCAGCTCTCCCAGCCTTTCCTCACAGGCAGATGCTCCAGTCCCCTCAGCATCTCAGTGCCCTGGGCTGGACTCTCTCCAGCAGCTCCTTGTCCTTCTGCAACTGGGCAGCCCAGAACTGGGCCCAGTTCTCCAAATGGGGCCTCACCTGCAAGGCAAGACACCCACATCCTCTCCATGCTCTCAGCCTTCCCACAAACCTACAAGATTCACTCACTTGGAAAACCTTGACCATATCACTGGGGGGTCAAAGGAACTCAGCTTCACTGTGCCCCTAAGCACTGGGCTGCATTTCAAACTGAAATTGAAAACATAGTTTTCACATGATTAGGAGAATACAAAAGAAAAGCCCTGGTAGATCACTGGTTTTATCAATACTTGTTCCCACCTGTAGATCCCTTTACAAAGCCTTTCAGCTCAGGAGGGATCCACAAGTCATTTAGTCACTGCATGAAATCACTGCATTGTTCTTCTTCACACATGGCCATGTGGCTGGGGAGTCTGTAAGCAAAGTCTGGGACAAGGACAATCACAGACCTGCTCTCTCAGCTAATCATGCTGAGGGTTAGTCTTACCTTCCCCAAGTAGCTTTAGTTCAGCAACCAACCATGGGGGAGAAATATGAATTTATGGGTCTCCCCCTCATTATAGGTTATTCTTCAGGATGAAAAATAAACTAGAATCATCATCATAGAATCATCACAGAATGGTTTGGGTTGGAAGGGACCTTCAAGATCATCCAGTCCCACCCCCTGCATGGGCAGGGACACCTCCCCCCAGCCCAGGCTGCTCCAAGCCCCATCCAACCTGCCCTTCAACACTGCCAGGGATGGGGCAGCCACAGCTTCCCTGGGCAACCTGGGCCAGGCTCTCACCACCCTCACAGCAAAGAATTTCCTCCTCATGTCTCACCTCAATCTCCCCCTTTCCAGTTTTCATCCATTCCCCCTCATCCCATCCCTCCCTGCCCTTGTCCCAAGCCCCTCCCCAACTTTCCTGGAGCCCCTTCAGGCACTGGAAGGTGCTCTAAGGTCTCCCTGGAGCCTTCTCTTCTCCAGGCTGAACACCCCAACTCTCCCAGCCTGTCCCCAGAGCAGAGCTGCTCCAGCCCTTGGATCATAGAACCCTCATTCATTCAGGTTGGAAAAGCCCCTTGGGATCGTAGAGTCCAACCATCATCCCTAATCTAGAGTTCTTCTCTAAGTCATATCCACCAATGTCACATCCAGGGATGTTGACTCAACCACCTCCCTGGGCAGCCTATTCCAGTGTCTGACTACTCCTGTGAATTTTTTTTTCCTACTGTCCAGTCTAAACCTGCCCTGGGGAGACCAGCACCAACCTCTCAACTCTGTGGCCTCCTCTGGTCTTGGTCCAACAGGTCAATGTCTTTCTTATGACCTCTTGTCATTGCATTTTGAGGCAAGACTGCTTCAAATCCTTTCTTTTGAACATTCTGAAGATATGTCCTCCAAACCCCTAGATGTAGATACTGTGACACTAGAGTGTGTGTGAAGTTACTTTCATTGTCCTCATCCCCTCAAGCCTCTATGGGTTTTGGGCTGTTTTAAAGGACTCTATTGGGGTGTTTAAAGAAATGCAGGTATTTTCAGTGGAGAAATATTTGATGTATGTTGAGGCTGAGCATTAATTTGAGAGAAACAAGGGTCTCTGTGAGAAATAATGACAGAATCACAGCATGTCAGGGGTTGGAAGGGACCTCTAAAGATCATCGAGTCCAACCCCCCTGCCAGAGCAGGACCCAAACCAGGGCAGGTCACTCAGAAGGGCATCCAGACAGGCCGGGAATGTCTCCAGAGAAGGAGACTCCACCACCTCTCTGGGCAGCCTGTCCCAGGGCTCTGTCACCCTCCTAGTAGAGAAGTTCTTCCTCATCTTGAGGTGGAACTTCCTGGGCTTCAGATTATATAAGTTATTCAATTTCATCAAGTGCTTTTTCAGAAAGGGAGAAACAGGTATTGCCAAACATACAGTGTGTTTCATATATTGTGAAGAGACCTTGCTATTCTGAAATGTGCTGTTTCTTGTTCTTTTCACAGTTTCCTTATACACTTTTGACAAGGCCAAGCAGTGCATTGGCACAATGACAATTGAGATTGATTTTCTGCAGAAGAAGAACATTGACTCCAACCCTTATGACACAGACAAGATGGCAGCTGAATTCATCCAGCAGTTCAACAGCCAAGCCTTCTCTGTAGGCCAGCAGGTGGGGGCTTTGGTTTGTTTTTAAAGCCCCAATGGTGTAAAATCCTAAGGGATGCCAGGGTGCTGGGAGCTTGTTGTGTGAGTGGTTTCTTTGTGAAAAGTTCAACCATCGTGACATCCACTGAGAGTGTGAGCAGAGTGGTTTTAAATCTGCATTTCCTTATCTAAATAAATCTCTCATCTTTGTGAGGAAAATCCCAAGGCTGGGGGGAGCTGGGTTCTCTTGTGGCCTGGTTGGATATAAACATGACATGTCCTGGTGGCTTTTGAGAAGTAATTTTTTCTTCCTTCTACATACAATCAAAATGAACACCTGCTCTAAGTACTTCTCAGTAGCACCTCTCAAATGCAGGGTCTTTTATTGGAACATTTGTTCCTGCTCTTTGGATGCCCCAGTAAACCAGGTATGAACAGGGATGACCTGGGGGTTTCTGGAAGCTGCTGTCCCTGTAATTGAACCTTCTCAGCTCTGCAGCAGATGAGCTTCTGCCCCTAAGAACATTTGTGGTAGCCTCTGGTTTGCCACATCTGGGGACAGGCCCATCTCTGTCTCTCTCAGTAGTTTATAACTTGCAGGCCCTGAATCTTAAGTCATTTATAAATGTAATCTTGGAGGAAAGGAACTGTGCAGAGACAGCCTGCTTTTCTTTGGCATGGGCTCTGCTTCTTGTAGTCATTCTGTCTCTCACTACTGCAGCACTGGTTTGGAGGTACCCTTGTCAAACTGGAATGCGGAAAATCAAAAAGGTTTGAGCTAAATCCTTCTCCTTGCTTCAAACCAGTATTTCAAGTGAGAGGAAAATGTCAAGAGATGGAATAGAGAGCCAGTGGTATCTTGGGATGCATTAAGAACAGTGTGTCCAGCAGGTAAAGGGAGGTTCTCCTCCCCCTCTACTCAGCCCTGGTGAGACAACATCTGGAGTGTTGTATCCAGTTCTGGGCTCCCCAGTTCAAGAGGGACAGGGAGATGCTGCAAAGAGTCCTATGCAGGCTATGAGGATGATGAAGGGACTGGAACATCTGATGAGGAAAGCCTGAGAGACCTGGGGCTGTTTAGTCTTGAGCAGAGAAGGGTGAGAGGGGACCTGATTAATGTTTACAAATATCTGCAGGGTAGGTGTCAAGAATGGACCAGTCTCTGTTCAGTGGTGCCCATGGTAGGATGAAGGGAAACAGCACCAACTGACAACACAGGAAGTTCCACCTCAACATGAGGAGAAACTTCTTTCCTGAGGGTGACAGAGCCCTGGGACAGGCTGCCCAGAGAGGCTGTGGAGACTCCTTCTCTAAAGACTTTCAAGACCCATCTGGACACGTTCCTGTGTGATCTGCCCTGGGTGTTCCTGATGCAGCAGAGGGGTTGGACTTGATGATCTTCAGAGGTTCCTTCCAACCCCTATGATTCTATGATTCTGTGATCCTATGAACAGAACATTTAGCTGGAGACAAAAGGGTGGAAAAGAGAAGCTTTTTGTGGAAAGAGAATTTTTCTTTCAATTTTTCCACTTGAGTTTAAGCTCTGGAGTTGATGTGTTACCCTTTACTGTGGGACATGAAAAGGACACGTTCAGTCCACCAGATCTTTATAGGATAAAGTAGGTGGAATTTGTTCAGAGGTAAACTTAGGCCTCCAGCCTTTCTCTTCAAATCTTAGTAGCCTTATCAAAATCCTTTTTAGCTTTTTAAGGAGTTAAAATCCCCTTTTGTTTTTTCTTTCCACAGCTTGTGTTCAGCTTTAATGATAAACTTTTTGGCCTCCTGGTGAAGGACATGGAAGCTATGGACCCCAGCATTCTCAAAGGAGAGTCTGGAGCAAGCAAGAAGCAGAAGGTGGGCTCACAGGAGTGCATGTGCCTTCCCTGGGGACTGCAGAGAGTCCAATACTGATCAGACCTTGCTGCAAGGAGAAATAAGGTTACTTGCAGGTGTAGAAGTTTCACATCTGTTTAGTCTTGCTGCTGTTTTTGCCCCAGAGAAGATAAGGAGTTTTGTTCTGGATTCAGTCTCCTGCTTTTCTGGAGTTGGGGGCTTAGAGTGCACCCACTGAAGTGCAGAGCTGGGGAAGATAAGAGGAATATCTTTTGGTTGCTATGTACTAATTCATGGACACATCCCTTTTTGAGCCTTTTTGTCTTTCAGAGGTGGCTACATTTTCCTGTAGAAAAGACATGACTTTGTGCTTTCTAGATCTTGCTGAAATAAAATAGTTGGTTTAGAACTAAACAAATAACTTCAAAAAGGCAAATAATTATTCTTGATGAGCTCCTGCAGTCAATGTTGTTCATTTTAGAGGAGGCTGTTGGTATTTCACGTTCTTCCCAATGACTTTTGTAGAGGAGCTTTTGCTGCTGTTTCTTGCTCTTCAAGATGTGCTCAGAGATACCTGAGGAGCAACCTGAAGTTGAGCCTAGTAGCTTAATGTAATTATTTGTTTATTTCCCTTTTGCAGATTGAGGTTGGTTTGGTTCTTGGAAACAGTCAAGTTGCCTTTGAAAAAGCTGAGAACTCCTCTCTCAATCTGATTGGTGAGTGCCACTGTGTCTGAAGAGATAAACCATGCTTGAAGTTTGCTGCTTTCCAGGCCTCAAAGACTTGTGTGTGTCAAAGTTTGTTTTTCTGGTTACATCAGTTGACCTAATGCATTGAAAACAGCATCTCAAAATGTCTCCCAGGGGTCTGTTCTAACTGGCAGTTTGTAGTTGCTCAGGACTCTCTTGAAGACCACTGCCCTGAGGAGATACCCGCCTCCAGCAGGCTTTGCTGCTTCTAGACAGGGGCTCTGAGAAGAGCAGCCAGATTGGTGAAGGCTCTGGAGAACAGATCCTGTGAGGAGAGGCTGAGGGAACTGGGCTTGTTTAGTTTGGAGAGTGGGAGGCTGAGGGGAGACCTGGCTCTGCAGCTGCTGGAGAGAAGGTTGTGGGCAGGGGGTTTGTCCTCTTCTGCCAAGTGGAGAACGACAGGCCCGGAGGGAATGGCCTGAAGTTGGGCCAGGGGAGGTTTAGCCTGGATGCTGGGAAGAATTTCTGCCCCCAGAGAGAGCTCAGGCTCTGGAATGGGCTGCCCAGGAAGGTGGTCAGGGTGGAGTCACCATCCCAGGAGGTACTTGAAAACTGTGTAGCTCTGGCACTTCAGGACATGCTCTAGTGGGCATTTTTAAAAATTACTTTATCTTAATTTGGGGCTGGGGGGGGTTGGCAGTTGGGCATGATGATCTTAGAGGTCTTTTCCAACCATGACAATTAATTCTGTGATTCTGTAAAGTCTCTGTCCTCCCTGTATGAAGCTCCAAAACTGACCAAGGTACCAGAGCAGTCCTCTGGGCTGATTACCAGGGTGTCTCCAAAATGTGCAGACAGAGCCAGGAGGAGAAGAGACGGGTGTGACTTTGAGAGATTCTGACAACAGCAAATCGAGTCAGATGAACAGAGAAGTTAACCTGAGCACTCTGGACTGCCAGGCCTAGGTTAGGAAGGCACCATGGAACAGTAGCTTCAGCTAAAGTCTGAAACTAGTTGAGATATTTTAACTCTTTAAACATCAGAGAATGATCTTTTCAAGGACACTAACAAGCCAACACCTCTGGAATTAAATTTAATTAGAACAGCAAGAAAATAGGAAATTGAGAACTTGTTTCAATGTGTTGTCAGAATTTCAGAGTGAGTGCAGAACTTCTGGAAATCTAGTGTAGGGCTAGGGAGGAACCTGCTATGTCCCCATAGAGCCACCAGCTGGAGTATGCCTGTCCCTGCAGCTGGTCTGTGTGTGGTGGGGCCTTGGGGCTGTCCTGCAGCTCAGCCACTCTCCCTGCCTGCCTGTTCCTTTCCTTACCAGCCTTACAAAGTGGATGATCTGTAGCAAGTCTAGAGCTGTAAATGCCTCTCTTGCTGCTCATATGGCTCTAGGCATTATTTTCTGGGGGTGATTCAAGTCCTGTACTTGAGCAGACACACCTGTCTTTCTTATTTTCTTTTCCCATTTTCTTTCTTCCTGGAGTCCATGAGCTAAGAAAACTTTTGCTGCTGCTGTTCCACAGATAAGAGCTGCCAGGTGATGGCTGCTGGGAGTGGGGGTTCAGGGAACCTGGCCAGCTCAGCTGACTTTTAATGCTTATTATTTTTGCAGTAGACTGGAAGCAGAGCTCGGCTGGGCTGGGGATACTCAGAACTTTGGGTGTTTGGTACAGACATGAAGCATATGCCATATAAAGCATGAACCACACGATGGGTGAGCACCTGGCTCAGAGGTGGAGCACGAAGAGTGACAGTGAATAGGGAACATCAGGCTGGAGATCAGTCACTAGTGGGTTCCCACAGAGCTCCATCCCAGGCCCAGGCTCTTCAACATCTGGATCAATGAATTGGATGCAGGACTCGAAGGAATTCTAAGCAAGTTTGCTGATGATGCAAAGCTGAGAGGAGCTGTTGACTCCCTGAAGGGCAGGCAGGCCTTGCAGAGAGACCTGGACAGGTTGCAGAGATGAGGGGTCACCAACCACATGAAGCTTAACAAGGGCAAGTGCCGGATTCTGCACCTGGGATGGGGCAGCCCTGGTGGTCAGTACAGGCTAGAGAATGAGTGGCTGGAGAGGATCCGGGGGGTCCTGGTCAGTGGCAACTGCAGATGAGCCAGCAGTGTGTCCTGGCAGCCAGGAGGGCCAACCCTGTCCTGGGCTGCATCAAGGAGAGAGTTGCCAGCTGGTCCAGGGAAGTGATTGTCCTGCTTTGCTCAGGTGCAGCCTCACCTTGGGCACTGCCTGCAGGTTTGGGCACCACAATATAAGAAGGACATCAAGCTATTGGAGAGTGTCCAAAGGAGAGAGAGGAAGGGGAAGGGTCTGGAAGGGATGACTTATGAGGAGTGGCTGAGGTCACTGGGATTGTTCAGACTGGAGACGAGGAGGCTGAGGGGTGACCTCATTGCAGTTGTGGTTTCTCAGGAGGGGAAGAGATGGGGCAGGATCTCTTCACTCCTGTGACCAGAGACAGGACTGGGGGAAATGGCAGGAAGCTGGATCAGGGGAGGTTTTTAGGTTGGATATCAGGTAAAGGATGGTTGAGCACTGGAACAAGCTCCCCAGGGCAGTGGTCACAGCACCAAGCCTGCCTGAGTTCCAGAAGCCTTTGGATGATGCTCTCAGGCACATGAGGTGATTCTTGGGGTGCCCCGCACAGAGACAAGAGTTGGACCTGATGATTCTGATGGGTCCCTTCCAACTCAGCATGTTCTATGATTCTACACGAGGGTAGTGGCCCATTGTGCAAGTGGAATCCAGCTCATTCAGCAGTGCAGGAGCCTGAGGCTGGGGCTGAGTTTTGCTGCTGCCCTCAAGTGCCACCTTCCCTCACGTGCCAGGCTGGGACTCCATGTTCTGGAGCTGTTCTCTCTGCTTCACATGCTGCAGTGGCTCCAAAAGCTGGGGAGACAGGAGGCTGTTGTGTAACCACCTGCTTGTGGATGTGAAAGTACAGCCAGTCATCTGTGCTGAGAACCCCCCAGAGGCCTGTGGGCTGAACTGTAGATAACTGTAATTAAGCATATTATTAACAAGGATGCAGGTTTTAAGAGCACAGAGTGAAGTTTGCATGGACAATTAGCTCATCCCAGTGAGTACACTAGTACAGCCTGTTTAGATTTACTGTTTTGATATGACAGCTTGAGGGGAGTTATTCATATAATCCAATTTATTGCATCACAGCACGCACTGGTATTTTACTTGATTAATATTCAAAGCCACATGGTGACCTGTGATCTTCCTCCTAGCATGGAGAGGGGTGAAGAGCGTGGTCCTGGGGGAGAGCTGCTCAATTGGAAATAGGAATCCTTCACTGTGCTTCAGTTTCATTGCCTGCAGACAAGACCAAAGAGCTGATTCTGCCTCCATTTCCTTCTGTCAGACTGGTGCTTTATTTAATCTTCTCATTGATCTGAGGCAGAGCTACTTAATGTGCTTTGGTAGTCCCTGGAGAATTGTAAAGTTGTGAATAATTAAATTCTGAGAGGAGATAAAAGTGTCACTGAGCAATGACTTCAATAAAAGGCCTTTATTTTTTTTTCAATAGACAAGAACTGTAATAATGAAAAAAAGCACTAATTTTATTTTTTCCCTTAGCATAAAATCATAAGTTATGAAACTAATGGATGATGTTTTAATTCAATCTACAAGAATCAGATTGTGATCAGCTGCAGCCAGAAGGGGGGGGTGTAGGCCAAGTTCTGCAGAGAGAGGAACATCCCTGCCTGAGCTCAGACCTGCTGGAGTGGAGCAACCAGACAGTAACTGCCCAGAGATAAGGGACTCAGGTGCTCTCTGCTGCCCTGCCTGCTCCTGCCGTGTCACAGACACGGGCTTGGTTGTTTAAATTGATACTCTTGGAATTGAAGGATCGATTCCAGCTGTGCTTAGCACCAAGATTTACAGCAATCCAATGCAGCTAGCACTGAACTTTCATCTAGTGTATGTCACGGACTTGTTGATGTTAACTCATTATCTGACTCTACATGAAGTGTCTCTGGAGGAGGTTAAGGAACAAATCAGCAAAATGCACAGTTGCAGTTGGCCAGGACTGGATTTTTAGGGGAGATCATCGAGTCATAGAATGGTTAAGGTTGGAAGGCACTGAAAGATCACCAGATCCCAACCTCCCTGCTATGAGCAGGGACACCTCCCACCAGACCAGGCTGCACAAGCCTCATCCAACCTGGCCTTGGACATGTCCAGGGATAGGGCAGCCACAGCTTCCCTGGGCAACCTGGGCCAGGGTCTCACTGCCCTCATGATGAAGAATTTCTTCCTGATGTCTCACCTAAATTTCCCCTCTTCCAGTTTAAAACCATCACCCATTGTCCTGTCACTGGCTTCTCTGGTGAAAAGTCCCTCCCCAGCTTTCCTGGAGCCCCTTCAGGCACTGGAAGGTGCTCTAAGATCTCCTTGGAGCCTTCTCTTCTTCAGGCTCCCTCAGCCTGTCTCCAGCCCTTGGATCATCTTGGTGGCCTTTTGCTGGACCCTCTCCAACAGCTCCATGTCTCTCCTGTGCTCAGGGCTCCAGAGCTGGACACAGCACCCCAGGAGGGTCTCACCAGAGCAGAGCAGAAGGGCAGAATCCCCTCCCTGGCACAATCCCTTATTGTGATGCAGCCCAGGACACAATTGGCCTCTGGGCTCCAGTGCTCACTGGGGGCTCATGTCCAGCTTCTCATCTCCTCCCACCCCCAAGTCCTTCTCCTCAGGGATGCTCTCCAGCCATTCTCCCCCAGCCTGGATTTGTATCTGAGATAATGGTCCCCAGGGACAATCCTGTAAAGCCCTGTGGATATCTAAGAAAATACAAGACCTCCAATTTCTGTATGAATTAAGGATAATCTTCAGTCTTTGCTTTTTCTCTGGGTTTTGATGTTCCTGTTGGTTTCTCTGGTCTCTTAGCACAGTGATGCTGCTGAAGGCCTTTTGGTTGTGTGGATGTAACTGATAGTGTCAGTGCTTGGTTATAAACACCCTTGAATAAACTTAGGGTGAGACTGGATGGGTTTCTCTCCTTGGTGACCAGTGATAGGACAGGAGGAGATGGGGTCAGGTTGCACCAGGGGAGGTTCAGGCAGGATATTAGGAACAATTTCTGCCCAGAAGGAGTGGTGAGGCCTTGGAACAGGCTGCCCAGGGAGGTGGGGGAGGCACCATCCCTGGAGATGTTCATCAAACAGGCAGACGTGGTGTTTCAGGAGATGGTTTAGTGGTTGTGGGTTGTGGGGGGGGGGGTTGGGCTTGGTGATCTTGAAGGTCTTTTCCAACCTTGATGATGATTGTATGATTCTATGATTCAATCTCAGCATTGTTCTTAGAGGAGCATTGGTGCTTGTTGCCTACCTCCTAATTACCCTGACCACTTGAAAGCTTCTTGTGTGGTTACAACAAAAGGGAAAGGAGGAGGTTGCACCACTCATGGAGGCTGCAGAACCTGCTCTTGGGGACCCTGGCTGCATTTGGACTAGCTCTAGAAGAGGTTCTGGAACAGAGGTTCTGAGCTGTGGTGGGTTGCTAAGGCTGGCTTTTACCTTTTTGTGAAGTAAGTAGCTGACCTCATGAGTGTTCTGTGTAACCTTGCTTAAAAAAGGCTCTGGAATGTGAGGGCTTGATGATGGCAAATGTGCTGTTTTGAAGAGGGTTCCAGAGCTCCAGATCTTTGCACCTGGAACTCAACAGAAACTGTAATAAAGAATCAAATGAGTGGATATCTGCAGAGAGATGTTACACTGGGAAGGGTCAGCCTGCCCTCTGGAAGGGCAGTCCTGCCTACCTAGGCAGGCCTACATCTGGAGATCATGACAGGAATCAAGAATGTGGGAATAAGGGCTGACCTAGTCTTCTTGTTGGTCACGGCTCTTCCAGCAAAGCTCCTAGTTGAAGTTTCTTTTAAAAGAAGCTGAAAAGAAATCTGTAAGGTAGAAGGTCCTTGTGGCAGTAGGTGAGTGATGAAAGGGTGTAAGGATGAAAGGCTATTGCCAGTGGAGTTCAGCATGAATCTCTGCTGGGGCCTTTGGTTTTCGTTATCATCATGGAATAAACTGGCAAAAAGATTGAGTGATGAGGTAACAAAACTTGCTCTTCTGGAGCTCAGTGACTAAGAAATAAAATGGCAGAGGAAATTTGATATAAATAAATGGAAAGTGATGTGTGGGAGGAAGAGCTCTTCTAACTTCAGTCAAAAATGATTGCTGTTTTGGGCCAGGATCCAAGGTATGACAGTTTTGAGGAAATGGTGGACCCATGCTCAGCAGCCTGAGCCCTGTTAGGAATTGTTGAGTGTGGATATTGAGAATTATTGCAGTTTATTAATAAAAGAATATGAATGAATTGAAGCATAGTTTTTGTACCTGTATTTAAGATAGAAACAAGCCCCAGTGCATGCAGTTCTAGGCTGCGTGTCTGCCCAAGGATGTAGCAGAAACAGAGAAGGGTGAGAGGAGAAGAACATGAGTGCTCCAGGGTGGGGCAGATGCTGCCAGAGGAAGGAAGAACAAGTAAGGATTGCTTTGCCTGCCTGGAGAAGGCATGACTGAGGAGGGTGCTGGATGAGCATCATAGGATGTGTGGGGTTGGAAGGGACCTTTAAAGGTCATCTAGTTCAACCCTCATGCAGTGAGCAGGGACCTCTTGAACTAGATCAGGTTGCTCAGAGCCCCATCAGGCCTGACCCTAAGTGGGGCTTCCAGGTCAGACTCATGTCCAGCCAACCCGATGCTTGGTTTCCAACGTTAGCCAGGAGCAGGATGGGGTCTTAAACTAGAACGGGGGAGATTTAGATTGGGTATCACGAAGAATTTCTTTCCCAGGAGGGTGAGGAAGCACTGGAACAGGTTGCCCAGAGAGGTGCAGGTGGCCCCATCCCTGGAGACATTGAGGAATGGTGCTCTAAGGTCTCCTTGGAGCCTTCTCCTCTCCAAGCTGAACACCCCAACCCATAGGGAAGCAGTGATGGCATCGAGCCTGACAATATTCAAGAAACATTTGAACAACACCCTCAGGGACATGGTGTGAACTTTGAGGTTGTCATGTTCTGGGGCAGGAGTTGGACTTGGTGATCCAGGCTGTCTGAGGAGGTTGTTGAGCCACCATCCCTGGAGACATCTAGAAAGACAGACGTGGTGGTGGATGTGGCAGAGTTAGGGTAGTAGTTGTGCTGGATGAAGGTCTTTTCCAGCCAGAATGATACTGTGATACTGTAATTCTGCTGAACTACCTGTTTGAAATGGTTCATTTATTTTTTGCAGGGAAATCAAAGACCAAGGAGAACCGCCAGTCGATCATCAACCCAGACTGGAATTTTGAGAAGATGGGCATTGGGGGCCTTGACAAAGAATTCTCAGATATTTTCCGACGAGCTTTTGCTTCTCGAGTGTTTCCACCTGAAATTGTGGAGCAGATGGGTGAGTATGACATGCATATGGGCGGGATACAGGGTGCAGGCCTGTTGGTGGTCTGTAAAGAATGGCTCCAGTGAACCCCCTTATGCTGCTGTCACTGGGCACTTGCTCAGGGGTCAAAAAGACCAACAAATCCTTTTCTTCCCCTGTTGCTCCCAAAAGTATTTTGTACTCTAGTCCCTGAGCTAAAGAGGAGGGGCAAAGAACCAATGTGAGTCCTCAGCACTGCACATGAAATGTCTGAACAAATGAGATACAGGATTTAACTGAATACTTTTCTTTTGGACCTCAAATGCTCTCTGTTCTTCCAAATGCTTCACTTATTCTAACAGGGAGACTGAACACTCCTGACTCACTGGCCATGGGCTGTCTATGTAGGTCAAAGGAAATTCTGTCTTAATGATTTTGCCTTATATATTAAATACTTGTTGTCCTGGCAGTTGCACTATAAACCTGTGTTCTTCTTACAGCATTAGCCCAATAAATAGAGTATTTCTTGTGATCTGTGCCTGGTCAGGTTTGAAATGCTGGGAGGATGCACAGGCTGTAGCACGTCTTGGAGTTTGTGAAATAAAAGCACAGATTCTAAATATAACATTTTTTGGGGGTTGGGGGAAGGAAAGGCAGTCCCATTACTTTGTAAACATGTGCTGGCAGGCAGATCCATGGTACTGGTTTTAATTTTCAGTAAGCAATATGCAGCTGTAGGTTATCTTGTTTTGTCACATCAAGTGGCTGGGGATGTTATAGCTGATCCTCTTGTGAATATCATCTCTATGGGTTTGTATTTATACTTGGAATTCATATCTGTATAATTTCTGTGTATGTTTATATTGCTTGTTCCACCTTCCCTCTCTCCACAAATGAAGCAATCAGGATTTTGATTACAAACCAGATTTTCCTCAGAAGACACCTCCTGTTTGTGTGTGGCTGTGTCAAGCGGGTCCGTTTCCAGGGCTTGTGGGATTGATGTGAAAGTAAACTTCCCTGTGAGGTGTGTGAAGTCTTTTCTTAGTGATTTGAACACTTTGGGAGAAACACTGAAGAAACCCTGTAGGCTAAATCCAATTAGTGCACAATTTTCTCTCTCCTGCCTTTTTGCTTTGTATCAGCCTGGTAGCCAAGGCCTTCTGGGGGCTGATCTTGGTTTGAGTTTCTTGATTTTTGTGGCTGTGGGCAAGTTGTAACTTCTCTGCTTCTGCTTGAGAATGTCAACTGCTTTGATTTTTTAAGTATTTCACTGCTCTGCAGAGAGAGGAAATGAGAGAAATGGCAATGGCTGTTATAAGAAAAGCTTTTATGTAGACACTCTGTTGTGTCCAGTTCAGAAGTGTTGCTGGCAGCTGGTTTTTGGAAGCACATGCGTCCCTTACTGGAAATATTTTTACCTTCCAAAGCAGCTGTCATATATACTCATGGCTGCAGTGCAGAGTCCTTAGCTGTGGCCCTGGATGAAGGTAAAAGATTCAGACTTTGGGAATTCTTTTCAGTGTCACAGGAGTGTGATGAGAAATATGTTGGTAGAGTCAGGGTAATTAGAGCTTGTTTTTGTTTTGCTGTAGCTTCTCCCATCCAGCCTTCCTGGCTGCCTGCAGTTCTGGCAGCTTGTTAAGCAGCCATGTGTCAGACTAGGGTTCCATTCCCTTGTATTATCATTAGCTGAATTAACCTGGCACTCTGGTGACAACAACTCTGCTGTGGAGGAACCTACATCTCCATCAGATGTCTCTGGAGAAGGTGGGAAACCTTGCTGACCTCAGGGTGAGGTTGTGGAGCTGCTCTACAGGGTGTGGTCCTCGGAAGGTTCCTCTTGGTAATTGGTGTTGCTTAATACAGGAAGGAAAAATCCTCTGCAGGACCACTGGTATTTTGATTACCCTGGGCAATGAATTAAAGGTGTGCCATATTATTTATATAAATACATATCCCTTGACTCGTGCATGTTTACACACATACTGCACAAAGAAACATTTTTCTGGTAAGGAGTGAGACTCCAAGCAGAGCTCTCTGCTCTCTGATTAACCCCAGGGCTAAAGAGCTTATCTGAAATTTGGAAAAACAAAACTTTCTGACATTCATTTTCTCTGCCTTAGTTATAACTTGCTCTTAACTGTATTTCAGATCTGAAATGTCAGTGTGACAGCTGTTCACCTTTGTCTGTAATTTATTGGGAAAGGAACAGAAAGAATTTGCTTGCTCTCTGGTGCTCTCGTGCTCACCCGTTTTCTGGTCTCTGCCCTGTGCTCACAGGCTGCAACTTCCATGCCAAATGCAATAAATATTTCTGTCCTGTAACTACACAGAGGCTACACAGAGGCTCCACAGACCCTTCAAAAATTGTTTGCAATTTGTGTGGTTTATTGAACTTCCAAGGAATGTTCTGGGCTTGGAGCATATAAATCAGCATTAGTTAACCCGTATCATCCAAGTGTATAAATACTATTCTGATGCTACAATCTTTGGTTAATCCAAGAAAAGAAGTCTGAGATCAACTTCAGCTGATCATTAACCTTTGCCATAGCTCCCTGCTGCCCTGAAAAGGGGCAATTTCTTTTTCCCTGCCCACACTTTTCCTATACATGGATAGCAAAAGCACTGGAATTCTGGTCACTTTGGAACTGCAGTGGGACCTTCATCAGTTTAAGCTGTTTGCTTCTAGGGCTGCAGTTTCACAGTCACTTACTGGAGATTCACATCTTGTCTCATAATATTTGAGTGCCAAATGGGAATAGATCCTTCCCTGGATGAGGGTTGAGAAAGGTGCTCTGAAACAAAAGGGCCACTCCTATCCTCCCGGTGATACTTCTAGGAAGGCACTTCACAGCTGCAGGGCTCTGGAGGAGGTGGGGCAGCAGACACATCCTGAAGGACACCCAAGTGACCCAGGGAACCATCCTCCTTTTCAAGCCAGGGCCAGATCTCTGTGACATCCAGCTCACAGCAAAGTTGTGCAGCTTCATGGTGAACTGCAGCCTGGGTTTGGTTACTCTTTGTTGCAGCTCAGAGCATCCTCTGCTCAAACTAGAGCTTCTCTTTATTTAGTAATACAGTATTTTTCTAAGCGCTTCCTGCCCTCTCTTCACATCCGTGCTAAGGTGCTGGTTTTTCTGCTGAGACTTTAAATTCAGCTCCTTCAATGGCTTGTGCCATTATCTGACATTCAAGATTGCTGAACACTTAGAACACTGGTCTCTTCTCCTCCTCAGCTCTAACAAACCTTCAGGACCTTCAGCCTTTTGGACTCAAGTTTTTGGTACTTGGTGCCCGGAGCTGCAAATTTGAACAAAACTGAAAAGCATGTTCTCAGACCTGAAGAGAAAGTTCCAGCACTGAATTCTTGCTTCTCTTTTCCAAGAACACTCCAGTGTCTCCATACATTGAAAAGCAATCTTGGCTTTCAGTGGGGAAGTGGTTTTTGTGATGCATGTGGCACAGGAGTTTGTTGAAGAGGCTGCTGGAAAAGCAGGTTCCGTCTGTAGGTGTCATTGTTACTTTTTTGATAACAGGTATAGAGGTAGTTGGTGATACAGGTCACATTCCCTTTGAGAGAGCAAAATGGAGCCCAGATTCCCCATCCTATCCTGCTGCCATCTGCAAGTAGGTTAAATCAGACTTCTCCAAAGTGATTTCTGTTTCCTGATACCCACCTTAACTTGTGTTCTGACGTCTTGGGATCAGTTGATTTCAGTGCTCTGTATTTTCACTATATAAAAGTGAAGCATTAATAAAGCACAAGAGGAACATTGAAATGAGCAGATACTCGGGTATTATTTTCTTTCTTGGATTCTGGCTGGGAAGTGGAGGCTTGTCTTTTAAGGTGTCTTAAAATTAATATCTTAATGTCCTTGAAGTGCTCAGATACTATAAGAGAAGTGTAATAATGGAAAGGATCTTATCCAGTCTATTCTTAAAACAGGATAATTTTAATGAAAAATCAATCTCAGATATGTCTAACCTGTAATTGAGGTGACAGGAATGCCAGAACCTCTCAAGGCAGCTGATTCCACTGCTCAGAGCATCTTTACTGTCAACATTTTTCAAGTATTTATTCTCAATCTTGCAGCAGTTCCATCATAAATTGTTTAATTCTTTTATGTTTTTGGACAAGGCTTTTGCATACTTGTCTGTTCATGTTTCTCTGCAGTATTCTCACAGCTACAGCTCAGATTCTTAAACCATTTTTCACAGTGATAACCACTGGCTCACCAAAGGTGGTTGTTTCTTTTCCCTTGGTGGTTCCTCACTGCTCAGCAGTGTGATGCCCAAACCAGACCACAGGAGCTGAGGTGCTGTTCAAGTCCAGGTCAGTTGGCAGGTTTGCTCTGTGCCTCGACAGAGGCAAAGACAGTTCCTCTAGAGATCATCTAGTCTAATCCCACTGCTAAAGCAGGATTGCACAGAGCACTTTACCCAGGGCTGCATCCAAGTGGGTCTTGAATGTCTCCAGAGAAGGGCACTCCACAACCTCCTGGGGCAGCCTGTCCCAGTGCTCTGTCACCCTCACTGTACAGAAGTTTTTCCTCATATTTCAGTGGAACTTCCCGTGTTCCAGCTTGATCCCATTGCCCCTCATCTTTTCACTGGGAACTACTGAGCAGAGTCTGGCTCCATCCTCCCTGCACCCACCCGGAGATACTCACAGGCATTAATAAGGTGGCCAAGGCCATCCTGAGGTTCATTAGGAGGAGTGTGTCCAGCAGATCAAGGGAGGTTCTCCTCCCCCTCTACTCAGCCCTGGTGAGACCTCCCTTGGAGTGTTGTGTCCAGTTCTGGGCTCCCCAGTTCAAGAGGGACAGGGATTGACTGGAGAGAGTCCAAGGGAGGCTACGAGGATGATGAAGGGACTGGAACATCTGTCTGATGAGGAAAGGCTGAGAGACCTGGGGCTTTTCAGCCTAGAGGAGAAGACTGAGGGAGGATCTAATTAATGTCTATAAATACATGAGGGCCTCAAGAAGGCAGGACAAGCTCTTGTCATTTGTGCCCTGTGATAGGTCGAGGGG